CTCTGCCTGGGTAACCATACTGTAGACCGTGCCATTTCTTCTTTACTGATGTATGGCCGTGGTGATGACATATATAATTTTACCATAACCTTTCTGTTAATGGCCCAAACTGTGTCTTCTGCCCTGACCATGCAACCAAACCACACTGAATGTGAAGGACCACTTCTATCTTTAATGCCAGCTGATCTCAGTCGGGTAACAGGAGAGGCGATCGTTACTGTCCCCCTTTTCCATATTTCTTTCAGCTTTACCCAGCTCAAGGTGACAGAACCAAAATGATCAGTGTTTTTATTTGATGCTGTATGCCCAGCTGTTTCTTCACGGTGTGGCTGTCTTTGTCTGTATGTGGAACATAGTCAGCTAGGGCTTTTACAGAAAGCATTTGGGTGACCATTTTATGTGAGTATGTGTTCCCCACTGCGATTTTTATGGTTATGTTGAAGTTTTTGCAGCTAATTTTTCACCAGGAAAGTAGTTAATGTATTCTTACTCAGTACGGTCAGATTTTTATTTGGAGTCTGGTTCAAAACCCTTTTGAGTAAACAGAAAGACTTGCATAAAAAGATTTCATAGATCTTTGAAGTTACTTTTATTTATCAAGATAAGAATGGCCAGAAAACAGGGACAGCATTTTTTGTTTGCTTCCTTACATTAGGATAATAAAAAAAATTTGGTTTGGTTCCTTCATTTTAACCTAAGAATCCACTCGGAATGCAAGCTGCTTAATGGAACAGGGGCATCTTTATGGCAAGTTTGTTTCATTTGTAAAGCAACCATGAAAATGCTAAACCCTAGCACATTTTAACTTAGTGGGGTTTTTTTCTGGCTGCCTTCTTGTTTATAAATTAAATATTTTGACTCTGCTGTTTTGATACTCCTTATTGCCCCTGGTGTGACTGTTCAAAGAACTCTCTGTCTGGGGTGTTGCAGCAGAGCAGATTCAGACAGTTCTGCTCGGAGAAGGAAGTGGAGAGTTTTGGTTCCCATTTTGCACTTCTGGAACAGTTTAGGGAAGGAAGCACCTTTACACCTTTTATTGTTCGTGGTTGCTGACATCACATCCTTCCCTGACCGCTCTGTGCGTGTTTCCTGCCATTATATCAAGATTCTTCTGTGTTGCAGAGGAGGGATAGTGGGTGTGTGTGTGTGTGTGTGCGCGCTCACGCGTGTGCCTCTCCGGTAGGAATGTGCAGAGAGCGGCAGGAGCGGTCAGGCGATCTGCTGCGTTTGTCCACTAGCTCTTTTCCCTCCTCAAGGCTCAGATCAATCTTCTGTCAGCTACCGCTGCCTCTGCCAAATCATATAGTGAACAGAAGCCCGCCAAAAATGAAGTTCCTCTTTTTGTAAGCAGTCTGAATTTTTTTTTTTTTTTAGTGTTTGGGTTTGCAAAAAGAAAAAATGCTGAAGGCTGTAACACCATAGCGTGTAACTATGTGTTTCTTTAAGTGCAATTTGTTTGCATGTAACCATGTCATTAAGTTGGAAGGTTTCTTTTATGTGGAGAGTTACTTCAACAAAGATTCTGGAATTATTTTAAGTTTCTTTTTAGGTTCTCTTGCATAATGAAAGCCTGCAGTACTATTTCAGTTTTGTAGTACCTTCAACATTTCTAGCTAGTGTGCCATATTAGTGCTAGGGAAATACAATTTACCGGTTAGCATGAACTTTCAATACGTGGTATGCAATCCTTAATGCTGCAAGAACTTTCCAAAGGTAGTGAGAACACTGGTGAAGTCCTAAAGCAGCCATGGGGATTTGTTGGTCTCCAGGGTTCTTTACATTCTGTTTGGCTCAGAAGTGACCAGCCTTTGAAGCTCATAGCCCTTGAATCAGATGTCTTGATTTACTCATCTGAATCTAATTGATTTGGAATCAGTCCAGCTATCTGCTTTATATGTGTACAAGTGCAAATGTATATACTAATGAAATGAACAGAATATAGGCAAACACATAGTAAGAATAACAAGTGAGGCGGTATGTGTTGATATGTATAGATGTGTAAAAGAGTAAGATAGGTACAGGGATTACCACAGCATTCCAAATTTGTTTCTAGTAGCAGTAAAAGTAGCAGAAATTATTTTTTAAAAAGGAAATACGTTTGCTATATCTATAAAGCTGTTGTTTGTACTTAGACTAGCAAGCAAAGAGCAAACACGAGAAGTTTAATTTTTGTCAATGCAAGAAAATCTAACATATTGCTCGTTGAAGCAAAATTAGGTTTCTCTGCAAATTGTATGTTGGATACCTATGACCTAACATGTTCTGTCTTCTCCTTCATGTTATCTTAGACTATATGATAATATTTAATGACCAAATAATCCATGCTCCCCTTTAACTTTATTTTCCTGCACATCTCTTTTTCCTCTTAAAAATAGTGTACTTAGTGGATTACTGCAGGAACAAAGAACAAAATTCTGCTCACCAAGTGTTGCCTGAATTACTTTAAGACAATTTTGTGTGGATCGTAGGAATGTTAAGTGTTCTGACTTTAAACTGGCTGTAAAAGGTTTTGCTGTTTGAAGACTGGTCTTAAATGTGGAACAGACAAGTGTGTGGGAGGGACTCAACACACTGCTCCTCCACTAAGACTTTTGTCCTTCCTGGTAGATATTCTCAGTATCCAGTGATTCTTCTGAGCTCTCTCGGCATCAGCATCTTGGTCTGCAGAGCAGCTCTCACCCTTGCTAACCTGTCTCCGCTGCTCTGACCCGTCCACCCTGACCTTCCACCTTGCCGTGAATAAGAGCTTAGGCAGGCGATAGTGCCTCTGGCTTCAGCTGAATGAAAGGGAAGGAAATTGTTCCCTATGCGTTCGCTGTGGATTAGCGTGTTGGCTTACTGTTACAGAGAAAGCCTGTTAGACTCCTTCGGGTGCTGCATGTGCATGGGAAACATCAGTCTAACTTGCTCTTTGTATCAGAGGTAAGACTATAGGAAAAACAGGAAAGAAACACAGTCCGAGGAAATTTAAAACCGTTTCTAAAAATAGGCTGGGTTTGTTTGTCAACACTGCATATCAGATAAGACTGTCTCCTGGCTTTATTTGGAAAAAAAGTTTTGTAAATACATTTAATCAACTTATTTCAAAGTTTTGGACTTCTGTTTTTTGTTGTAAACATGATGAAGCGCCTTTCTGTCTTTTTAAGCAGTGAGAAGCTGAACTGTTTTCAAACAAGTAAAAAGCAGCAAAAAAATTTTGCGGCCTTTACACTTTCTGATATTGGCAATATGAATTGTTCTGTGTTCTGCGTTACAGCAATGATTCAGACATATATACATATGCCTAGCAGATAATATAGAAAAGCATTTATGTACAGAAAGATAATAAGTATTATACTTGGAAAATTTGTTTCACCCAGCAGATTAGTTACATCATAGTGGCTAGTTAGAAGAGTCATGCTGACTGCTTATTTGTTAACTTCTTTCCTTCTTAGAGTGATAAAACAATTGGGCATCTTGAAATTTAAAGTATGCACAGAAAAATCAAGAGAGAATTGCAGATCAGAAGGAGTGAGGTCTAGCTTTTCTACCTCAGTAGCTTTGAATGAGAGCCAAATAATGGATTAAATGGCCAGGACATCGGTTTAGTGTTACGTAACATATTGTAAGAATTTATCAGGTTGGCTGCGAGACTACGAGCTTAAAATAAATAAGGGAACACCAACCTCTGTTTTAAAATTACTAAATGTTTGTTTCCACGGCAATTGTTTTAATATACTTTGGATCTAACGTAAAAACTTTAAAAGATCATTTTAAATTAATCTTGTTCAGATTTTTTTTCTCCTCTGCATTTAAAAGATCTCAGTGCTGTTCTGTTCAAAGTATGTAAATATAAAAACACAGTTAGAAAAGCTTAAAAAGGGAAAAAAGTTGCATCTTTTAGTACTAGACTGATCATTTCTGTATCTTCTTCTTTTTCTACTGAGCCTTTTATTCCTAAAAATACGTTGCATATGATAGAAATTAATTTTGTGATTTATGACATGTTATGAAATATGGAATGTGTACTGTAGTACGTGTTTTTATATATTGTATCTAACTGTCCTTAGTTTTGTGATGGAATCAGTATTGTAAAGTTCAAAGAGCTAGTATTAGTGCATTACTAGAACTGTGAAAACATTTTTGAAATCATTCTTAAATTATCATCTGTCCCTATTATTCCATGCTATATAGCTTGTCTTTTGGTGCAAGAATTTTTATAAGGAAAGATACAACTCTTTGCTAGTTATAAATCATTTGTCAGAATGTTTTAGAGTTTACATTGAAACGAAATGAGGGAAAATGCGCTACTGTTTTGTTCAAGTATCTTGAGTAATACTGGCACTAGTCTGCATTCTTAAAGAATAAGGTTAAAAATTTTGGATTTAAAGTAGCTGAAATCGCTCATATATCAAGTAACACTTTAATAAAGGTCCATCCTATCTGCATAATGAGGAACATTATCACCTCTGCTGTCAAAACACAAGATTGTTTTCCCTTCAGAAATGAATTAGCTGGCCTACTTAGCATACATAGGTACAGAAAGGTTCATTAACTCTCTGATTTAGGTAATTTTTCATATTAGTGCAGTGAGTGATATTTAAAACAAGAGACACCTCATTCCGTTAAAGTTTTGGCAATGTGTATTTCAGTCCTTTTCTTCATTTCTTGGTGTATTGGGGTTCTTGTTTATGAAAAGAAGCCTGTGAGTTAAATTACTGTTAGTCTACACATTACTTATTTTATAGATGCATTAAATTTTTATTGTAATTTATTTGTGCACTAGATTATAATGAGGATGCTTTGTCAGCTCCATATAATAACTTCTATCTAGTTATCAATTTTGTAATGACATTTGATTTCCTTTCTGTGTTTAGCAGGAACGGATGCAGGGGACTGTGAACTGAGTAGTGGAAGTGCTGAAGAAGGAGGTTTGTTTTGAGGAAACGGGAAAGAGGAAGAAAAGAGAAGGGAAAAATACATAATTTTAAGGAAGAAGGAGAGAAAAAAAAACGGGGACTATGGGGAGAAAAAAGATTCAGATTACAAGGATTATGGATGAACGTAACAGACAGGTGAGTAGCAAAAATATCATATTTGAACATTGTGTTATATTTCTAAGGTGACTTATTCTCACAGGTGATTAAAAATTTGCTAACTTTTTGTACATAGACATATACCTACATATAAGTACATATATATGCAATGTATGGAAGACTATCAAAGAAAAAGTACTTTTGCAAACAACCAGAAACCTCACATACAGTTTTTTCAAGTTTAGTAACAAGCATAGTAAGGAATTTATTACTTGAGACCTTAATTCTACAAAGATTGATGTGTATGCTCTACTTTGGGCCCCCTCTACACTTGCTTTTTTACCTCTTTCATTTAAAAAATGACAGCACTTAAAAAAAAATTTCATCTTTTCCCATCTGAATTCTAAAAAGAATTCCAGTAGCCTAACTCATCCTAAAACCCACATACAATAATACTGGCATGTTGTAGTTATGAAAAGAAAGTCTCCATTACTGATGCTATGGCTAAATACATCCAGCATGGCTGGTTAATCATTACCACTACTTTAGACAAAATGGCTGAGTAGCCGTCACGTATTATCAACACTATCTCTGCTAGTTAAAATACGGTCAAAAATTAGAGAAACTGCTTTCCTACTTTCAGAAAAATAAAATTCAACAATTGGCATCTTAAAGTAAAATCAATTAAAAGCTGCTGCTGTTTATATTCGATATAAATGGATGGATGTTTTGTTGAAACTGGAGACTCACAAGTATGAGAAAATCTCCATAAAATTATTTAACACTGTCATTGGTGTTCTTCATACATGTGGCTGCAACTTCAGAGTAATCTTCGGTAGCTGTTTTTTAAGAACTTGATACTGCCTTACTTTTAATATATGAGTTCTATTCATTGGATCTATAAATTTCTTCATACGTCCAGGTTGTTTTTTAAGAAGTTATGTTGTTAGTCTTCAAGGACTTTAAAAAGCCATTAAAAACTCAGCCTAGGCATAACAAATGATAATCTTTAAAAATGCTTTCCAAGAATTTTTAAAATTTGTAGTGTTAGTAGTCACTTGTGTTCTCCATGGCAGAAAATCATGTATGAAAGCAAAATTATGTTATGATGGATACATTTTGTGTTTTTCCTAAAGGATTCCTATTGCTGTGGGCCAAGCCAAAAAGCAGTAACTCTATCAATATAAAACCATCACCATATTTATTTTAATTGGTTAATAGCTTGGAATTGAAATTGGATTTGAAATACTGAACTGAATTTCTCATTAAACATTAAGACACTGGTTGTTTGGAACTTTCCCATATTACTAAGGTTTGTTTTTGAAGTGAATTTGAATTATTTTGTAAATCATACTACAATATGTTGCCACTAGTAACATTAGTTCATACAATATCTTCATTGTCAGCTTGCTTACTCAAATATAGGGTTTATGGAGAACTTAATCCTCAGTTTGTTGAAGAGGCTAAATTTACTTGAAAAAAATGAAGACAGGTAGTCTTTTGAGTCATTCACAGTAGAATTTCAAGACTTCCAGCACCAGCTTTAATTACGAATAAAACTACAGCACTAGAATACTAACAACTGTAGGGTTAGTGCAGAAAGTGTTTATCTTGCTAGCATTTGATAATATCCATCATGTTGCTTTAGTTGCTGAAAGGCTGAAGGTATAGTATTACATTACTTTACCCTCCACATGGTATAGTTGGTATGATTCTGCTTCTCATCTCCACTAACATATTGAAGCATAATTTAGAAAGTGATTCTTCTGGTTTCATCCCCTTTGCATTTAGTGCCCTGATTTAAAGCTCAGGGAAGCCAATGAAAAGATTTCCATTGATTCACTTGGACCATGGGATCAAGCTTTTTAGCTGTAGTGATATATATGTGATCAAATACAACTGGAGTTTCACTAATAGCTGATTGATCTTTAAAGCTTTTGTACAAGATGTACTCTTTCACAAGCCTTTCCGTGAGCTATTGCTGCTTCAGTGAAGCTGCATCAGTTTATTTGTTTTCTAATTTACACACTTCCTGTGATCTTAAAATAGTAACTGGTTTCTATTGCAGTAATATTTTTTTATTTGATGATATAAACACATTTGAATGCACAGAAAATATTAAAATGTTGCACCGGCAAAAAAGAAGGTTATAAGTTTTCAGTTAACAAAATCAAGGTACTAGCTGAAGCATGATTCCACGAAGCTTATTTGCTGCTCCGTTTACCATGGGATGGACGGAGACTGTTTTCTTTTCTTTCTTACTATCTCATGATGTTTGCAAGAACAGCAGCAAATCTGTTGAGTTGAAACTGCCTTGTTGTTGCTTAGATTCAAACTCAGTATGGTTTCACAACAGAAGGCATGTTGGATGGGAATATGATATACATGAGTAGTGCATCCTCAGCTGTTTTCAAGCCCATAAATTCTCTGCAGGACAGCACATGCAGGAGAAAATAGGTGGAACACATATCGAACGAGGGGATATGCAACAGTTTAATTCTGCCCTCTCCCAGCGCAAGGGTGAATCTGTTTGGATTACTGAGTTTTTGCAAAGGGGTTTAAGCTGTTACAACACCTGTGGAAGGTGATTTCTGTCCTTGCTTTTCCATTTATTTGCCCGGTGTTCTGATTAGCTGTTTATGTTAACCATTGAGTGGAGTACTTGTTCTATCAGTCTGACAGCTGTTTTCTTCCACTGTATTGTCTGCTGTGGTAGCAGACTCCCCTGCTGTTCAAAGTGCTTGTATGAGTGGATTGGGAAGGCCGAAAGCAGTGCTGACCTTCCTTCCAGAGGACTTCTTCTCAGCAAGTCCACTTGGTTGGACTTGCTCACTGTGTTTTAATGGCCATGCTGTTAACAAATGTGAGCTGAAACTGTCCAGAGTCAGACATCTGGCTGCAGATCTCATAGAAATGTGCAATATAAGGATATGATCTGCACTTTCCCCAAAATCATTTGAAACTTTGACATTTGGGGTAAATTCAAAGAAAACTACTGCAACCTAGATATTAGAGGCCCAGTCATTTTACCCTGGACTGCATAAGAGCTCTGTCATTGACTTCAGTGAGTGCAGAATCCAGGATTTTAACTAGGAGGAGCTATTAATTTAATGTTGTTTCATGTGGGCTGCTGGTTGGCTGTGTTTTGCCAGCCCTCATAGTTACCGTGTGGTGGCAAAGGTGTCAAGGATGCTTGAATCATCTGTGAGTGATCACAAATTCTCTTCGGTTGTGAAAGTTTCAGAAAAGCCCACCTGAAAAATTCCCTTCAACTCTGCTTTTGGCCACAGGGAGAAGGAGTATGAATAAATTCCAGGGCTAAAGTAAGTGTGTATTTATTTGTGTAGTTTAGTTACCATCATGATAAGAAATGGAATTGAAAACTCTCAAGAGAATCCTGTTACAAGCAGCCAATGTGACCAGAGACTTTCTTTTTATTGTAGCGACACTGGATGATGCAGTCTTCATAAATGTGGAGTGGATCTCTGGTAGTGTTGCTCGCGAGGTTGTGGTAGCCTTGTCAGCAGCCCATTCAAGCAGAATACATACGCGATATCGGTTGCACCACCGACAGAACCGATAGCCAAAAATATTAGCACTGACATCCAATGTCGCAAGCTCCTGACTGCTACAGGTTCTGGGTGCAGAAATTTCCATTGGGCAGATTGGAGAAGGCTGCTGTGAAGAATTCTGGGTTGTTTTAAAAAAAAAAAAAAAGAAAAGAGGAAGGGCAGTTGCGAAAACGTGAGTGAACTTTATTTTCATGTGTTGTCTTAACTGAGAGAAACGACTCAGCTAGCTCTGTCATGGTCAACACATGAAGGAAAAATTGCATTCACCCACCTCAGAAAAGTCCTTGTATTTTTTCTACTTGTTTTCTATCAGTTTGAAATATTTAGTTAGTTTTAATGAGGGCCTTTTATGGTCTGCTGTAGAGTGGGACAATCTGAGACTCGCTTTGCAGCAGTCCAGGCAGGCCTGCCCAGGCCTAAAATAAATAGGTGCAGTGACGTAAATGATATTGTATTACTGTTATACAAGGTCACTTACAAAATATCTCATTAAATCCATGGTCTGTGAGCTAAATCCAGAGGTACATTGACCCAGGAAAGAGGGCATATTGACCCAATGACATTCTGGTATCAGGTCTGGAACACCGTTTTGCTTTTAATTCACTGGTTATTCTAGCTAGTATGAAGAAATACCTAGTCTTATATGGCGACCCACCATTCTTTGTCCCCCTGATCGTCCTGTTCATTAGTTCTGCATTTTGTTTTGCTGCTTGTGAAGCATGCTGTTGTCAGAGTCACAGTTAAAACTGAGTTGAGCTTAGCTAATGATTCTGCATAATGTTTAAAATATCTCTTTCAGTTTGTAATGAGCTGCTGGGAGCTTAAGTGTTATTAAATAACGTACAAAGTGTATGCTTCAATATTAAGGTGCTGAAACAGTAAGACACCATTTTCAAAGTATCATGCCTGTGTAATTCTTTGGGGTACGGCAGTAACAAACACTTGCTGTTTTAACTTCTTCACACATAGACTTTTTATCATTCTTTGATTCCAGCAAATCTATACAGCTACAAACCAAGACTTACTGCAGTTATCAGCTCAATAGGGAACAAATTAAAGCAGATAAGTAAAGTGAGGTTATGGGGCAGGGGAAGAATATCCTGGAGGGAAATGACCGTTTGCAGGAAGACCTAGATTTGTTCCACTGACTTCGATACCTAATGCTGCTAGTTTCAGAACTAATTTCAGGCTCGTGTGTCTATTTTTGTCTGTGTTTCAGCTCTATTTAAGAGCAAAGAGTAAGAGACTATCGGCTGAATCAGAAACTCCCGTGTAGAAAGAGAGAAGAGCCTCACATATGACTGCTAACATAAGCATAAGTTAGATAACTTTTTTTCCCACCAGTTCCCTAATATTTTCTGTCTTCTCTCATGAGGTGTCTTCATTTTATCTGAGATCTGAGATTTTATGATATTTTCCCCCAGGGAAATGTTTTCATAATGAAAGCATAACCGCTTAGCTATGCGA